AAAATATATATTTAAAAAAAAAAACGCACAAGGTACTGTTACATTCTCCTTTAATAAGGTATGTTTTATACTAGTATGTAAATAAAATATCCTAATTTCTTCTGTTCACAGAACTTATAGATTTTAAGACAAGAAGAGTTGCAGCATTCAGAAAAAACTTAGTGGAACTGGCAGAGTTGGAACTGAAGCATGCAAAGGTAATGTCATAAAGGGTTAATGAGCTTATAATTTACAAAGGAGTCAATTATAAAACTGATTCCAAAGGATACTGTAAGAACTATTACTAAATTGAAATTAAATGTTCCAAGTTTATTTCATTCATTTAAAATACTTGGTTTTAGTAATATCCTCTTACAAAGTTGTTTACAGCTCTTAAATTCTTTCTATAGTTAATATAAAGCTTAGCGCAAACCTTACAGTAAAATTTAAGAGAATCCTAGCCGAAACCGGCTCAGTGGTGGAGCGTCAATCTGCGGACTGAGGGGTCCTAGGTTCGATTCCGGTCAAGGGCATGTATGTTGGTTGCAGGCACATCCCCGGTAGGGGGTGTGCAGGAGGCGGCTGGTCAATGTTTCTCTTTCATCGACGTTTCTGGCTCTCTAGCTCTCTATCTCTCTCCCTTCCTCTCTGTAAAAAATCAATAAAATATATTTAAAAAAATAAAAATTAAATAAATAAAAGAGAATCCTAGAATTGAGAGAGATTTCTTAAGTGAAGTCATTCAAACAAAAATAATATCTATAATGACTCTGGTGGTCAGCTCTGCAAGACTGGTATCTAATATGAAAACCAGAACCTTTTTTTTTTTTTTTACTAGTTGTTTAAAAAATAAATATTTTGCCTGGCTGGTTTGGCTCAGTGGATCGAGCGTCGGCCTGTGGACTGAAGGGTCCCGGGTTCAGTTCTGGTCACGGGCACAGGCCCGGGTTACTGGCTCGATCCCCCGTGTGGGGCATGATTCTCTCATCATTGATGTTTCTCTCTCCCCCTCTCTGAAATCAATTAAAAAAAAATTTTTAACTTTTTTTTAAATGATAAATCTTTCTGCCCTGGCCACCAGTTTTTCTCAGTGGTTAGAGTAGGGGTGTCAAACTCAATCAGAGAAGGGGCCAAAATCTAAAATCCAGCCTAAATCGCGGGCCGAATGGTTTACTGAACAGTCATAAACTGTCATTGTGATGGAAACGCAGCGGAGTGCAGTGATGACAGCGCGGTGCGGGCCACATTGCAAGGCCTGGCGGGACGGATTTGGCCCGCGGGCCTTGTGTTTGACACATGTGGGTTAGAGCATTAGGCCTGAGATCGAAAGGTCGGGTTTGATTCCCAGTCAAAGTATGTACATGGGTCAAACGTTCCATCCCCAGCTCTGATAGGGGTGTGTTCAGGAGGCAACCAATCGATGTCTCTCTCCCTCTCTCTCTGCCTTTCCCTCTCTCCCTCCCTTTTCAACTCCCCCTCCCTCCCTCTCTTCCACTTTTTCTAAAAAAAAATCAATGGGGAAAAAACTAAAATAAAAAATAAATTGAAAAAATATCCTTGCATAAGGATTAACAAAATAATTTTTCTAAATATATGCAAATATCACTTGAAAATTTTTTTATATTTTTTTATTTATATCAGAGAGGAAGGGGGAGAGATAGAGACAGAGAGACAAAAGGGGGGTGGGATTATGCATTGGTTGCCTCCCATACACATTCTGACCAGGGATCGAACCTGCAACCTAGGTATGTGCCCTGACTGGTAGCGATGCCCCAAACACCAAACCACACTGGCCAGGGCCCGTCTGTAAGAACCATTAAGTGTACAGTTCAGTCGTGTTGAGTATGTTCACGTTGTGCAACACATCTCTAGAACTTTTTTATTTACCGAGCATTTAATTTTTACGATGTAATTGCAGGCTACATTATAGCCATTAGGATTAGCTTGCTAGTTTTAGCCCAGAGCACGCATTTCTTTTAAAAATATGGATTTGGCTATAAAGAATTTACTATTAAACTAATTATTCCTACAAAGTGGTAGACATTTCTAATTTGTATGAACTTTTCTTTTATATCTTCATCTAAATTTTAATGTAAAAGATTGATCCAGCCGAAACCAGTTTGGCTCAGTGGTAGAGCGTCGGTCTGTGGACTGAAGGATCCCAGGTTCGATTCCATCAGGGGCATGTACATTGGTTGCGGACACATCCCCGGTAGGGGGTGTGCAGGAGGCATCTGGTCAATGTTTCTCTTTCATCGGCGTTTCTAGCTCTCTGTCTCTCTCCCTCCTCTCTGTAAAATATCAATAAAATATATATTTTTTAAAAACGATTGATCCAGCACCAAAGGAATCAACATTTGTTAATCTAATTATAAAAGTAGGTGCCAAGCCGAAACCGGTTTGGCTCAATGGATGCAGGCGTCCTCAAACTTTTTAAAGTGGGGGCCAGATCACGGTCCCTCAGAGAGCTGGAGGGCCGGACTATATGAACTACTAATTCCTACTGTAACACCTCGGCTGCGCTCACTGCCCAAAAAACCTGGCGGGCCGGATCAGACTCCTCTGCGGGCCGCATGTGGCCCGCGGGCCGTAGTTTGAAGACGCCTGGAGAGCGTCGGCTTGGGGACTGAAAGGTCCTGGGTTCTATTCCGGTCAAGAGCATATACCTTGGTTTGCGGGCATATCCCCAGTAGGGGGTGTGCAAGAGGCAGCTGATCAATGGTTCTCTCTCATCAATGTTTCTAACTCTATCCCTCTCTCTTCCTCTCTATAAAGTCAATAAAATGTATTTAAAAAAAAAAAAAAAAAAAAGTACGTCCCACCAAGAAAGGCTAATTTCTGTTGTTAATCCTCATCCAAGGATAATTTTCCACTGATTTTTAAGGAGAGGAAGAGAGAGGGAAAGACAGAGAGAAACACTGATGTGAGAGAGACACATGGATTGGTAGCCTCCCACGTGTACCTCGTTGCTCAGTCACCGCTATCCAGTGCGGTGGCCATGAGCCTCCTGTGGCTGTCCAAGCCTGAGACGTGGGGAGTGCAAATGAGGAACTCGGTTTTCATTGTTTCTTGGGGGGCGGTTTTACTTTTTTTAAATATTGATTTTTAGAAAGGGGGTAGAGAGAGAAGCACCAATGTGAGAGGGAAACATTGGTCAGCTGCCTCCTGTACAACCCCTACCGGGGTCAGGCCCGCCACGCGGGCACGTGCCCTAACCGGAAATCGAACCCACAACCGTCCGGTCCGTGGGCCAGCGCCCAGCCACCTGAGCACACCGGCCTGTGCCTGTTTCCTTTTAACCAACAGGAGGCACGCAGCTAATGGCTGCAGCATTGGCATTTTAGCATCATACACTTTTGGCATCTAATGGTGATTTTTGCCTGACTCTGATATTAATATGATGGTTGCCAAGTGGTCGTTTCCTAGTTCCATCATTCTTTACATTTCAGTTGACTTTCTACTTGAAGGAAGGGGGTTCTTTCACCCCCGTTTTATATATTATGTAACCTAAATAGTGGGATAAAAGTAGGCTTCCATTTGTTCGTATGGAAAATAATACAAGGATTATAAGTAATAATAATGTCAGAATAAACTGTTCTTCACACACAACTGTAAACTTACTTTTGCCTCACCCTGTACCTCACGCATCTCCAGGTTCGATGGCAGTGTGTGTGCTTTACAAATGGCACTTACTTTGTAACTTACCATTTCTGTCTAGCTGAGACCGGTTTGGCTCAATGGATAGAGTGTCGGCTTGGGGACTGAAGGGTCCAGGGTTCGATTCCGGTCAAGGGCATGTACCTTGGTTGCGGGCATATCACCAGTAGGGGGTGTGCTAAACTGCAATAGTTAGAGTGGATGGCACAAATGGGTACTTAGGTGTGAACTTCATACAATACTTTTGTCTGTAACCTTACCATTTTTAAAAAACTGCTATATATCTAAGTGAGTTTATTTGTTAATGGCTATAGGATGGTGAAGGGAACCTATGTTACAGCCAGAAAGTGTTCAGTAGTTTGAGCTGGACACAAAGGGCATACTTTCTCCCTCGATCTAACGTGCCAAATCAGAGCATTAATATTGGTCTAGCTGGAAGTTTTTTGAAGAGTGTAGTATGTGGAAAATGTTAGTGAAACAAATTCTATAATTTATGTCTATTTGTGTATATTAAGTAGCTGTTTCCAAATCCCTGTGCTGTCACAAATTAAAAGCTGGGCGGTTTTTCATACTATTATTTTGAATGAGACTCTCCCAGAGTGTTTGAACTTCACGCTTGTCTCTCCCTTCCTGTTTAGGGCAACCTACAGCTGCTGCAGAACTGCCTGGCTGTGTTAAACGGAGACACATAAGCCGCACTCCGCCGTCAGGGTTAAAGGGCTGCCTTCCTTCAGATTGTATGTTTGTTTTCTCCATGACATCCGGCATCTCCTGCTCACTGGGAACAAAAGGAACAGCTGACACAGCGCCCCTCGCACCTCTCCTCTGAGAAAGCCCGGAGCCCTGCGGCCGGGCGCTGCCAGCCCGCCGGGCGTGGTGGGCGCTGCCCGCCGCCTCCCCCCTGCGGCTCCCGGGGCGGCGGCTGCGCCTCCTGCCTCCTCCTCTCGAAGCCCAACTCAGTCCTTGTCCAGGAGCCTCCATAACTCTGCTCATTTGTGAATGGCATTCCTCAGGGCTGCCAATCTTACTTACCTTTAAGTACTCTCTGAAGTTTAACCCTTTCAAATCTATTCTTCAAACAAGATAAAGATTGCCACTACCTTTTTTTTATTTTGTTTTTAAGGGAACATTGTATGCCACCTAAGTTCATTCATGTATCCTGATAAAACGTCTTAATCAGACTTATTTTTAATTAATGAATATTTCTTAGAAGTTTTGGGACAGACTTTATGTAATCTTTCTAAGTATGATTTCTGAAGAAAAGCAAATGCATTAGTATGTTTGCCTTAAACTTGTAGACTTAACCAACTATTGTCAAATAAACGGTGATACCAGTGATGGCTTTTAGCTCTGTGGTCATTGCAGCTCTGCCGAGTCTGCCCTCCACCATGCCCTCCGGGGCAGGCCTCGTTCTCCTGTCCTTCAGCGACAGGGAACCAAGTGCCCCTCCCATGGCGAAGCATGGACTGCTGCTGCGCTGCTGGCGCTTCACAGAAGATGGAATTGGGCAGAGGCCGGGTAGAGCCGCTGTTGCTAAAGTCCAGGGGCCGTGCCTTGGCCGATGTGGCTCAGTGGATGGAGCTTCGGCTTTCAGACTCAAGGGTCACAGGTCCAATTCCGGCCAAGGGCACATGCCCAGTGGGCTTGATCCCCAGTAGGTGGCCTGCAGGAGGCAGCTGATCGATGGTTCTCTCCCATCATTGAGGTTTCTATCTCTATCCCTCTTCCTTCCTCTCTGAAATCAATAAAGAAATATATATATATTTTTTTTAAATATATATTTTATTGATTTTGTACAGAGAGGAAGGGAGAGAGATACAGAGTTAGAAACATCGATGAGAGAGAGTCATCGATCAGCCGCCTCTTGCACACCCCCTACTGGGGATATGCCCGCAACCAAGGTACATGCCCTTGACCGGAATCGAACCCGGGACCTTTCAGTTCACAGATTGATGCTCTAGCCACTGAGCCAAACCGGTTTCGGCTATTTTTATTTTTTTAAATGACATTATCATTTGTTGTTTGTTTTTTATATTTTATTGATTTTTTACAGAGAGGAAAGGAGAGGGATAGAGAGCTAGAAATATCGATGAGAAACATTGACCAGCTGCCTCTTGCACACTCCTTACTGGGGATGTGCCCACAACCAATGTACATGCCCTTGAATGGAATTGAACCTGGAACCTTTCAGTCCACAGACCCACGCTCTATCCACTGAGCCAAACTGGTTTCGGCAGGAAATATATTTTTTAAAATAATAATAAAATAATATCCAGGGGCCGAGAGTATGGCCTGTTGTGGTCTCCTGGATTCCATCCCGAGCTCACCGATGAACCATGTGACATTCCACTGAGCTGGTGGTTGGTAGTTAAGCCAGTGTACAGACTGGCATGGAGAGAGAGAGAGAGAGAGAGAGAGAGAGAGGGAGGGGGAAGTCTGCTATAGGAGACAACTCGTGCTGGTGGGAAAGAAGCACATGCGTGGAATAAAGTGTGGGTACCAGAAAGGCTGCCAATTGTCAGTGGTCACGTTGCAAACATACTGGCCTTTCTAATGTGGGTGAGCACTGTGCCATGCCTGTGGAAGATCAGGTGGAGGGGTTAGCTTTTCCCTGTCTTCTGCGTGTTCTCCCGTTTGGAAACCACAGGCGTCTGGGTGGTCACCACTCTGATGAGTCCTGAAGAAGGCCTGGCTGCACCTCAAGCTCGTCCAGATGGTGCTTCCTCCACAGCCTCGCCGCTGCGCTGGTGAAGGTGTCTCTCCTTCACTCTCGGTCACCGGTGCCATCTGAACTGTGGTGGTTCTGCTGACTGAGAGGTCTGTGTGCTCCGTCCTTCCTGTCACCTTCCCCGGGGGAAATGTGCCCCTGCAGCGCTCACCAAGGTGAACGTGGGACGGAGAGCCCGAGCTTCAGGATGCCGTGGGGTTCCTTCACGGGGTGCCCTGGTGGCCTCAGGCAGGTTCACTTGACCTCTGTCTGCCTCAGCCTTTCCACCACACAAGACATACTGACCTACCTCCCAGGGGTGTTGTGAGGGTGAATAAATGTTGGTACAGCGCTTTGGACACGTGAAGGTGCGCTTTGGACATGTGAAGGTGCTTGGCAGAAATAGCAAGCACACAGCAAAAAGCTATACCTACCAACAGTTCATCTGTCTGCCACCCGGGCCTTTGAGGGGAGCGTTGGGGTGGGCGGTGCAGCCCTTGGCGTCTTACGTTGGTAGAGCACTTGGGTGGGGTAGGCCGGAAGCAGCAGTGTGGGCGCAGGGGATGGAGGGTTGCTTAATGGAGGAATGATTCGATGGCCGAAACCCGTTTGGATCAGCGGTAGAGCGTCGGTCTGCGGACCGGGGGTCCCAGGTTCGATTCCAGTCGGGGGCATGTGCATTGGGGGGTGTGCAGGAGGCACTGGTCGATGTTTCTCTCTCATCGACGTTTCTGGCTCTCTCCCTTCCTCTCTGTAAAAAATCAATAAAATATGTTTTTTTTAAATGATTTGACGACCACACTTTGCAAGAGTCTTCTCACAAACAAATCCTACAAATTTGGTAAAGAATATGTAACTCACAAAAAAAAATAATAATAATAAATTATGTAACTCCCTGAGTGCATACAAAGGAAAGATCCTATTTTGCATCTCCAGAACAAACATTTGTATCCTTGTTTTATGGATCTCTCTCACCTTCAATAGCGGACTTACATAGACCAAATTGGGAATCCTTTAGCTATACAACTGTTATTTGAGGGTTTTACTTTTATTTTTGCAAGTACTGTACCACACTAAGTATATCAAATTCATAAAAAAATGTTTATATTGTACATAAAGTTTACAGAGGAAATTTTTATTTTCCCCTGACTTACAATTACTAAAAGAAGAGAAAACAAATCAGACTTGAAAACATAATTTAGCCCTAACTGGGCAGGTTAGTTGGTTAGTGTTGCCCTGATAAGGGGGAGAGAATCACTGATTGGCTACCTCCTGCAAGCCCCCAATGGGGATGGAGCCTGCAACCTGGCCATGTGCCCTTCACAGGAATCGAACCCTGGACCTTTCGGTCTGCTGGCTGACACTATCCAATGAGCCAAACCAGCTAGGTCAGCTTGAGATTATCTTAAGTAATATTTTAAAAGCTCAGAAAGTTTGAGTTCCTAGTCAGCAGACACTTATGCTTCTATTTTCTGAAAAAGGGAAGAAAATTGGCATTTATTCGTCACATATTCTAAACTCAGTGTTTTCTTAATTACTGTAAATAATCTATTAATGAAAAGGTAATATGCTTATTAGATCAGATATATTCCGGACATCCTTTTTTTTTTTTTTTTTAATTCTTTTTTGTTGGGTTTTTTTTTTAATATATTTTATTGATTTTTGTACAGAGAGGAAGGGAGAGAGATAGAGTTAGAAACATTGATGAGAGAGTCATCGATCAGCTGCCTCCTGCACACCCCCCTCTGGGGATGTGCCCGCAATCAAGGTACATGCCCTTGACCGGAATCGAACCCTGGACCATTCAGTCCGCAGGCCGACACTCTGTCCACTGAGCCAAACCAGCTTAGGCACCGGACATCCTTCTTGACCAAACCAGGCCAGAGGAGGGAAGCCCAGGTCTCAGGTGCCAGAGGAAAGCAGCCAGGGGAAGGGAAACCTACTGCACGAATTTTCATGCATCAGGCTACTAGTTAAAGGTATAAATAACTATAGTATTCATTCCTATGCAATCTGAGTTTCCTTTTTACCAGCCTGTTACTTTTCTTTGTAACTCTGACAAAAAAAAAAAAAAAAAAAAAAAAACAGCAACAAAAAAGATGAGATCAGATGAATTAGTGAATTTATGAAAGAACTCTACATTAGACTCAATTTCTTTGCTATAAAGAATTTCAATATTGTCCTTCAGCATCAATTATATTTTCTCTCTATTCATTTCAATGGCAATTGATATGCACACGTGATTTTAAAGTAATAAAGCTGGCAGTGGTAAACTAGATATTTGAAACTAATCCTCGCAGGAAGGAAACCAGAAAACATAGTCAAAATATTAACAAAATGTATTTGAAGACAGCACGGCGCAATCAACAGATGTGGTTAGTTTAAACTGGGATCAACTGGGAAGTAGCCATGTCAGATTAAAAAAGGTGAGAACTGCCGAGACCGGTTTGGCTCAATGGATAGAGCGTCGGCTTGGGGACTGAAGGGTCCCGGGTTCGATTCCGGTCAGGGGCATGTGCCTGGGTTGTGGGCATATCCCCAGTAGGGGATGTGCAGGAGGCGGCTGATCAATGTTTCTCTCTCATTGATGTTTCTAACTATTCCTCTACCTTCCTCTCTGTACAAAACCAATAAAATATATTTTTTAAAAAAAAGGGAGAACACACCCTAGCTGGTTTGGCTCAGTGGATGGAGCATCGGCCTGTGGACTAAAGGGTCCCGGGTTCGACTCCGGGCAAGAACTCATGCCCAGGTTGTGGGCTCGATCCCCATCAGGGGGCATGAAGGAGGCAGCCAATCAATGATTCTCTCTCATCACTGAAATAGATGATTTTCAAGGAGCCAGGAAAGGGGAGCCCTTCCCTGCATGAGCCCCAAGCACAGGGAACACGCTGTGCCAGAAAACAAGGAAATGCTCCAAAAAGTCTGAGAACATCTCCAGAGGCAGCCGCTTCAAAGGGGCTTTCATAGGCCCGATCAGAGAACATTTGAACATCCAGATGAATAAACACGGTGATGGCCCAGCCGGTGTGGCTCAGAGGTTGAGCTTCGAGGTCACCGAGGCACATGCCCAGGCCGCAGCTGTCTGAGCTGTTTGATTCCACAGAAGAGCTGCCCCTCGGAGCCCGGCCAGGACTGCCCACCCAAAGAACTGTGAACAAACAGAGTCATTATTTCAAATCACTGCGTCAGGGCCCTGGGTTACACAGCACTGGGTAACTGATACACCCCCTTAACCTGCAGTCAGTGTTAACACCGCCAACACCAGTGCCTCCAGCCGTGGTGCCCGGCGGAGGACACCCATTCAGTGCTTAGGGCTGTGGCAGTACGGACTCACCTCATTTTTTGTGCTTTAATTTATTCCTTTTCACAGGCATAGCGCTGCTTTCTTGGTTATTTTTTGTGGGGGGGGTTTTTAATTTTTTTAATTAAATTATTATCTTTGTACATACACCATTGTCCACCCCCTCCCATACATGCCCTCTCTCCCCAGAGTTTTGTGTCCATTGGTTGTACTTATATGCATGTACACAAGTCCTTCGGTTGATCTATTATCTCCCCCAGATCTCCCTACCCTCCCCGCTGCAATTTGACAGTCTGCTTGTTGCTTTACTGTCTCTATATCTATCGTTTGGTTCTTCAGTTTATAATGTTCTTTATCATCCAT